ATAACATCATTTCAAGTCCAAGGATAGCGTTAGACTTAACAGAATAATTTTTGGGATATTTTCCTGAATGTCCCAACAGTTTAAATGATAAACTAAAAGTCCCCATTATTCTGCTTCCATAAATCTACATACTGTTGATAATGTAGTAATGTATTGATCACATATTTTTATGGGAATATATGAAAGCAAGAATACTAACCATATATTTGAATTAAATGCATAAATCTTTATGAATTGAATTATTCATGGGATCAAGTTTTTGCAACATTTGATGCCTGAATCAGTCCTACTTTGAATTGTAATACCAGAAATCAATCATTGCATATCACAACTGATTTCTGGATCAATGATCTGGATTCTAACATTAATATTTTTCATATATTCTAGATTATAGTCGATAATTTACCAGTTTTGTAGTGAACGAAAACATAACTGTGAACAATCGAACGTATTTAAACATAAAATTACAGAACATCTTAGTAAAATCTGAGAACCATACAATAAATACTTGATTTGCAAAATATCAATCACTTCACTTTTCCTTCATTTCCACAGCAATCGTTCTCATCTCTTCAATCTTCTATCGACAAACATTTCACTTTCGATTGATGATACATACTACTTATATCTGTCGACATCAATAACACAAACCAAAATTGTTTTTATATTCTATTCATTTATTATTATTGTTATGAATTGCTAACTGATAAGTAATATAGTATTTTAACCATGAGATGTTACTCTAATTTCTTTGATTACATATGACATTAATAATCATAATTAATTTTGATGTATGGAGAATATAGAAAAGTTTAAGAATATATTAAACAGTCTATTTTTCATTACAATTATTTATGTAAAGAAAACAAAGTAATCGAATTCTCTTGATACTTTACTTATATACATTCTGTTAACTTATATTTAATCTCTATATATGTGATTGAGTAATTACTGAATGCACTATTTATATTAATACTGATATGTTATATATAATTTAAGAAAATAATAATGTCATTATATATTACCTACCTTTTGTAAAGTTTACAAATACCTTCCAAGTATTATATCTTCAACAGATGATTAGTACGTTTTATTTTCTTTCAAAGTCATGTGTGTTCTATTTTATGGGTCATGAACATGTGACTTAATTCGAATTTTAGTATCTTTGGATTATTAGAGAAAAAAAACACAACTAGTATTGTAATGCCAATTATTCGTTTGATATTAGAATTGAATAATGCTTTAACAATTGTATTGGAATGTATATGAATGTTAAGAAAAGATTTTGTAAGGTATCTTAGCATAACTACTATATTAATAAATCTATAATTGAAAAATACGGATACATTGTGATTAAATATGTTATAATTGATAGGTGAATAAATTCGTCTTAGATAACTGCTTTCTTTAATTTATGAAATGTTATCATTATCGTTCAGTATTATTCAAAGTATTTGCTTAATTTACTAGGACTTCTGAATTGAATGGTTCAAGATTATGGTTAATTTAGCATGTTGCTTAGATTAATTATGTTGTTTAATAAATTCAAGTGACAATATGACAAGCTGAATCATCAGATCAAATGTATAAGAATATAGAGATGGTAAGTGTGAAATATGTGTGGTGTAGAGAGATGAGATCATCGATTGTTCTGGCAAACTGACTGATTTGATAATCAATAGTGATGTATTTGGGTTAATGTGGTTATTAATCGTTCGCTAAATTATCGAATCAGTTTATGTGTAGTCCATAAATTCAATACAGTAAGTAGATAAATAGACATACATACAGTGCATAAAATGTATATAGATAGAAGTTAATAACTAATCACGCAAGCATGTAAAAAATAATGAATTAGACGAATATAGCACGTTTAGGTTACATAATTATTTTGACTTGTATCATGCAACCCTTTATGATATTGTTGTTAATTTGTTTAAAAGTATACTTATTACCTTTCAGGTGAATAGTATGATCAGTTCAAGGATTTGTCAAGATTGTTGAGTGCAATTCAGATCACGTACCGTCCTGATTTAAAGAACCATTTAAAATTAGGATGCACTGGACAGGTGTTTCACCATAATATGGAACTGTTCAGAAGTGCTTATCCATAACTCCGATGGATGCAGAACCCAGGATCTTCAGTTCTCACAGAGAAAGCTAAACCCTCAAACCATTGAATCGCCATTCAGTGGTTTACAAGTCTAATTTTAATCATATATAACGCTACTGTAAGGTGAATCCAGGTCTCAAGTTTATGACCAAAGTAGTTGGAAAACCTCAACTCAAAACATATCACTGTGTAATCAATATCGTCCGTTAGGATTAAAATTCAATGACTTATTCACGGAATTGAAAACTCAGCAATGCCAATATGGTTTTCTTTTTCAATAACTATCGAATATTTCCTATTTACTAACAGGAAGATTTTTAAAGAACATGACTCGTGGTTTTTCTATCTTGTTCTCCCAACGGAGCTGCCTTACCTTAGGGCACAGGATTCACAGTTAACGCAAGAAGGACATCTGAAGAAATTTCAATAAACAAGATGCCACAACTTAGGAGATAATTACCCACTCCCTAATTGTTCTTAGGAAATCCAAAATCCGTCTTTGTTAAATATTTTATTAACTTCAGATTTCAATTTTCTGGAAGTTGTTTAGCAACTTTTAAAATATTCCTCCAAATCTGTAATGATCTCACTTTGTTTTTCAAAGAAATACTGTATATCTCATATTTTTACTTTGAACTACTGTTTGTAGCTGTTCTCAACGCTTGTTCTATACAATAACTTGAAGTCGTTTTAATTCACATAAAATTAATGTTTGAAAACGATGTGTAACTTTCTGCTTTTCTTGTGTGATATGAGTTGTTTGGGTAATTATTTTTTTCCTATAATAGTGATGGGACTATTAAGTAAATTTGGAAAATATTCAAGATAGATAATCTTCTAAGTTTCGAACATCTTACAGATTCTGGTCACTTTGCCACACCAGAATTATTCTTCAAAGTCATCAAAATACTCAAACCGATGGAATTAAAGCTAGCGAAAATCATAACCTGTAGATTTCATGTGTTATAATTCTCTTGCATATCTATTATGTGGACGATTGTTTCACATATTTCTGTTATGGATATTATTTTCATCCTTCTACTTTTCTTCAATCTTTAGACCTATAAACAACCCTATTGTGATTCTGAAAATTTCCAAACAATCAACTACCTAATCTATTTTGGTTTTTGTAATAGACTATGTTTGGTAAATAGACATAAGTGAGACTGCAAATCTTTATTACAGAATATCGTTGTAATAGAAATTTTCTTTGTTAAATTTTCATTTCTTCTTAAAATTATATTAATGGAATAATAAGAGATCCTAGTCTCCAGTCGTTGTGTTAGTGCTTCTAACAATATCACTGGCAAAGCAGGTTGAAATTTTATTAATTGTTACATGTTATGTCCCGACAAGAGTAATGAATGGTAACTTTTGGAATCTATTGATGGATCAATACTAAACGTATATTTCTATTGTATAATTATTAAGTAACTAAACTATGCATATTCATATTCCTCTTATTATAAGCTTTATTTTGACCCATAACCTATTATTATTATACGTTTTACCATTCTCGAGTTATACCCAGTATATTAATTACTACCTCCCTCATTCATAGACACATTTGGCCGAATCTTGTACAAATGTTGTTTCATATTTCATTGGTACGTTGTGGTCTGTTTGATTGGTATATAAACTCAGTATGTTTGAAATATAATGATTCATATTACATAGGCTGAGACTGGTGTTCTGGACTTAACTGGCTGGGCTAGGCGGAAAATAGGGCCAATCAGGACTCAAGGCTGCTCGCACGTGTTTCACGCGTCCTTGGTTCGATCGATAACTCTCTGCTTCTGGTTTGCCGCTTTGGGCCATAACACTACATATCTAACGAGAGCGGTGTTTTAGAATTTATCTAAGCCCACTGAAATAATCGCTTGAGAATAAATTTTGTTATAAAACTTTATACTACTAATGATTTGTAAGTACTTGAATAAAATCATGATTAGTTTACGAATAAACTACTATCATCGAGGTTTCAATGTCGTTCAAAACAGTAGGATAAATGTTTTGATAAATACTAATCACATGATCGCCAAGAAGTAAGGTAGCACCATTAGTCTGTGAATACCTGTCATGCTTAGGTATCCGTTGGGGATTTATAAAACCGCCTAGTGCTCCCTGATATTTACTGATCCCTCGGTTACTAATACCTGGTGATGAACACGCTTAAATTGTACACACATCAACATTAAGATACATGTATACATTGAATATGTGTTTTGTTTTATTCTCTGTATAAACAATATTTATCGCATTTGAAGGGTTTTTATTATAGTGCTCAATAAATAGCTTGGTAGGTTTCGTGGAAATAATGAACTTGGACAAGATTTTCAGAAATGGATTTGATGTTAGGTGATGAATGTAGGAGGGTTACCATTTAATTTCCAGGTAAGTCCTACTCAATGCCTTCTCGCAGCAATGGTGTTGTTTACGAAATTGAGAGGACGAAAAGTGAATGGCCGGGGCTTTAACCGGGTTGGTGGACACGGAAAGTCCACTTAGGGAAGTTAGAAAACCCTGATTTCAAACCAATGGTGCACATGAGCTCCAGTATCCTGAGGAGACACATTGCATATGAACCAATCGTTTGTCACTGGCTACCATGGGACTGAATCTCCTAACGATGCTCCATCGGATTGTGGACCAGACCTTTAGGTCGAAGGCTCCAGGTGTGACCCCCTAAGAAAATCGCCTGCTTCGGTGTGGGCACTCGGGCAGTATCACAGCCCACACACAAATCAAATGGGATTTGTGTGGCGCATATGTATTCGGTGCCCTTACGTACCAATATGTATGTGTTCAAATAAATCACTAAATAATCCTAGCGTTATATCCATCCTGATTTTGATCATTTACAAGAAAGAGTAAATTACTTTTACGTTTTTTAAATGTTTTTTGTTGTTGTTGTTGTTGTTGAGTAGGTTCACAAAAACGGATGGAACATTTTTTAAAAGTCAACATCATCAATGAAATATTAAATAAGTAATCAGTTGGAATTATAGATTCTATTCCATAAACAGGTTAAGGATAAGGAAATAATTATTTACTATATTCTTTGGTTTCTAATGATAGTTTCATGTGATATCAGTTTAGAACAGAAATAATTAAATATCAATTAATATGATAAATTATTTATACTTTTCCATATGATAAAAAGTACAAGAAGGTGAACAGAAAAAAATTCTAAAAAAACACACACACAATAAGCGTTAATTAACTGTGATCAGTTTAGCAAGGTTTGGATGGACACATACATTATTGTAGGAATTAATTGGAAATTACTAAACCATTTAAATCATCATTCTTTTTTTTTGCATAAACTATTAATCAATCGATTGTTTGTCGATAGATAAATAAATAAACAAAAGGATAGAATAGATTACATCATAAAGTGATTCAAGACTCTAATTATCAAACAAGGTTACATAATATTCAGGGAGTTAGATAAGAATGCCTTGATTACTACGTAACCTTGTTTGATAATTGGAGTTTTAAATAGATAAGAATTAAACATTAGTACAACAGCTGAATGTAGTAGATTCAGAGATAGATAACTGAAAAGAGGAAAAAAGAAAAAATTCTGATTGGATACGAACAAAAATATCTGTGTATACATTGATGAATGAGAATGTGAAAGTTGTATGTATATAACATAAAAATATCAAAATTTTAGATACTCTATGGATTGTCATATAGTTAGACGATTCAAGAATACTTTGTGAGAAAAGATGTATGAAATTCTTTTAAATAGTCCATGACCAGTTTCATTTCTTCAATACTAGGGAGAATTGTTATTCTGTAAAACAAAACAAAAAGTATTTCAACTATGGTAATCATAACCTGTTTCTGAGTAACATGGATTATGATTTTTAAAAATGTCAAAATCAAAGAAGGTGAACATTATTGATTCCTTAAAAAGTCAGCGAAAATGAAATGTTGATAAAACAATTTCATTGTGGTTTGAGATAAACGAACCTCAAATATATTTCGGATACAGGAACGTGGATTCTACGATTTCCGAATTTCCAATACTTTATTAAGTAAAATGAGTTTCGACTTGGAACATTTTCGAAAGCCTTTGTAAGTTTTCAACAACTCTATTATTAACTGATTACGAAAGGATTTATTCTCCATAAAACCATATAACTTATTAGAAAACGAACAAATTTTAAATTGGGTTTGCAATGATAAATAGATGACTAGGTGATTAGGTTGTAGGTTTTGTGAATTCAACCATGATATCAAACAATTGATATATATAGTTTGAATGTGTTAGATTATTGTTTTTTTTTACTTTTGGAGGAGATAAATCTGCCGTTAAATTCGGATTTCAATTTGAAATGGAACTGTTTCCTTTGTATAACCCTACTCGCAAACATTAAAAAAGAAAGATATATAAGCACCCAGCCCATCTAGAAAAAAACGATTTAATGAACTGCAACTGTGGTGATTTCAAAATCACAAATCTACCGTATGACGAAAAATCAGTTAAGCTAAACCTACTTTCCTTATCACGCAGAACGAGAAGAGGTAACAGTTACAGTCTTTGAGTAACTTAACAATACCTTTGGATCTGCTATGCCATCCTTTTTGTTATGACTTTATATTCGGCTAGTTATCACGTGATTTATCCACCAATCAAAATACGACTTATACAATCTTAGCACTGTGCTAAACCAATGACGTTCGATCGGCATGAGCAGCCTGGCGTCCTTATTGATTCTATGTCCGCCTAGCCCGTCCACTTGAGTCCAGAACACCAACACCAGTTCCCACTATGCGAATCGAATCATTTATTTTAGACATACTGGGTTTATATATCAACAAGACAGACCGCAACGCACCATAAAATAGGGAATAACATTTGTACATAATAAAGCCAAAAAGTGGCTGTGAACGTGGGAGACAGTAGTCAATAAATTGAACATAGCTTACGAACAGTAAATCGTGCAATAATAAATTATAGATCAAAATGAAGCTTATAATAAGAGGAAATATAAATATACATAATATAATTATTAATAGTTACACCATAAGAATATATAGATAATATTAGTCAATTAATATGTCTCAGAAGTTACTCGTGATTTAATCTTCGCTCGGATATAACACTTTTTTCTAACTTTCAGAACACAAAATTTACGGAGGCACTAAAACAATGCACAGGGCAAGAACTAAATACGTATCATTTTGACTATCACCTTTTCCATCGAACGATCAAAAAGTTGAACTGCTTGTCAAAATACTTGATTATGTCCACTTCTGTATATGGATTTAGATAAAAGTTGGATTGACTGGGACACCTCGGTACCTAGAACTTAAGTAAATCTTTCAGTCGTCTGTTCCATTCAGACTGAAATTAAATGACTTGATAAGACTGTCCTTGCATTATGTTTATAACGTCAACCACGTTAATATACTTTTGGTTTATTCCAGCTGTCCAACTCCATATAGTCGAGTTCTAGGAAGTTTCAGGGTGAAGGATGTAAATGAATATTTGCAAATTGGTTTACCTAAAATGCCAAGTTCCTGGTACTTGACCGAATCCAGATCCTGGTACTACACAGACGCCATATTCTTCCAAAAATTCCAAACAGTACATAAAGTCTGGTTGCATACCTTTCGACTGAAAAAAATTGTTTAAGACAACATCGATAAACAACCAGAATTAAATTTCACAAGTTATGTCAAGGTACATTGACTAGCTGGAAAAGAGAAAAATTAAGCGATTTTTTTATTTGATAAACCGTTCATCATTTTACGAAATCGATGACTTGAAGTTGTAAATAAGATTACTGAAAATCTACTAGTCGAAGTCATTAAAGCAGAAAGATAAATTAAATGTCTAGAGATTTTATGAAACATTATTAAATTAAATTTGCATTTACATAACATGACGCCATAAACTATAAGAGTGGTGTGTTAAATGAGCATCTATTGACATATCACGAATTCCATGATAGAGGTGAGGATCTTAGCGATTATTCAACGCAAAAATGGCTCTAAAAACAAATTGGCTAAAATCTGTGATTTTCTTTTGAGAATAATGAAACTTATCTTGACTATCTTTGTAGTCGAACCATATTTCTTGTTTCACATTAATCTTTTCAGTTTTTAGTTTTTCTTTTACAAAATTGTCACCTAAACTAAGTTTTTTATCTGTTATATTTCTATAGTAATATTGGGATAATCGATTGTATTCTTTTAATATTTAAATAAAATATAGTAAGCTGAATGGTTTGAAGTTATCATTTATTTTAGGAGCAGCATCATAAAAGCAAAGACTATGCACAAGTCATGGAATACAAGCAGAATGTAAACCATAAGAAAACAAATTCATACAGGAATGAGTGATCTATATGAAAGATATTCTGTGCATTAAATACTTTGCTAGCGTACGAATATACTAATATTTAATTTAAGGGGGACTTAGCAGTCGAGTATATTATCATGTGGTCCACTCGAAGTCACATTGATGGGCTATTGATACTAATTAATTGTTGAAATTGAAGTAGGTGAAATGGAGTTCGAATCAACAACTTAATGGTTAAAGGTTCAATGGTATAATCACTTGACTAAAAATGTAAACATTTCAAACGAGTGATTGATCATCATATAAATAAAATCAAATTACACCGTCAATATTTAAGTTGAAATACCGCAACGTACTTCAATTCTACCGGAGATAGATCATACTAAATGGTTTATAAACATGTCTGCACTATATTATTTAGTAGATTACAAAAAGAACAGTGTAAATGTTATGATTTCAACAAAATAGAATTATTATAAAGTAATCTTTGGTTAATAATAAAAGTATTAGTATTTAAACTAGGGTAAACTTGATTGGTAGTTTGTATTGGACAACAAATATTGGAATTTGATAGAATTTATGTTATCTGGTTGCAAGCTACAAGTCAAAACATATAACAGTTGGACTATAGACCCTGTAACTCTCCATCAGGCACTAAATGAGCGCAAAAAACTTATGGAATAAATGTTGTTTCACTGAAAGTGGGTTACTCATATTGTATTTTATTTATGAATTAGTTATTTAGTGGATTTTGTTAGTTGAAAGACTTGAATAAGCTTTGAAAATATCGAAACTAGCCCTCCTCAATCACTGTCCAATTTAATTTAGTTTGACATATTGTGTAAATCATTTAACAAAGAATGTAGAATGAATTTTTTTAACAAATTCATTCTGTTTACTATAATTAAGAATATTTTTTCTGCAAGCCAACCTGTGTGAACCTAAACATTACATTAAGTAGATTACTTTTATTTGTATGTATAGGTTTGGTTTTTAAAGTTCGGTTTCGAGTCTAACTATAAACTTATCTTTACATGAAGGATCATTTATTACAATAATACGCTTGGAGACTCGCTATAAGGTTCTAACTATTTCCATCGAAGCGTTGTTGTAACATGCGTTTTAGTAACTCCAGTCCTCTCTTGCTTAATGCGGCTCTAATGCACTGTATCCAATCAATATGTATGTTTATAACAATATATATGAACCAATTATAATCTTTTCATTGAAAAGAATGAGAACATTTCGGAGAGAAAAATTTTATTTTCGACATCATTTTCTAAAGTTGTACATTCGTATTTGTAGGTACCTTTTCTACACATAGTATCCACGATATTACGCGATCGTCTACTTTTGTCTTCAGTGAATAACTGCCTCACAACAGACACGGTTGAACTCCACTGGTCACAGCTTCTCATTAGAACTCCAGGAAATCCATCTTTAAGTTAGTTACTAGTGAGCACATGATAATTGTCAGTACAGGTTTGTGCAGATTGTTGAGTTTTGATTGAGATCAGTGTTTCCGTCCAGTGCTTCCAGGTTTTTCGTGATGGTCTAGCTTTAACTGACTGATGAATTCAACTATTAAACTACTATAAAAAGGGCTGCACCAATCTTCAATTTACTTCAGACTATCCAGTCCAACCTTGGCACTGATACCTAGAAACCGTCGTAAACTAATGGGATAAAAACAATTTTACAGTTGAATTTGAGTCAATTAAAGCTAAACCACCATGGAAAACCTGCAAGCACTGAATGGCTGTTTCGCCCTAGTATAAAACTCCTCAGCAGTGCGCACCCACGATCCCGTCTATCAGTCTCGCACTAGAACGCCTAACCTCCACACCACTGAGATGACCGGAATCTAACGGCGTTAGTATCTAACTTCCACCAATCCAAGAAATTGAGCCATCGTCCACCATCGTCTTCAGTGAGTTACTATTTCACAACAGATTCTGTTGAACTTCAATTGACTCATGAATTCAACTATAAAATTACTAAGATCTCCACAAAACCCTTTCTGATAATAAAAAAATAATGTATGTTTATTAACGAAATAACTCACCTTTGCTATTTCGATTGCTTTTCTAGGTAGATCAATTCGTGGAAATGCATACATTGCTCCAGTGATTGGATTACATGAAAAACCTTGAAGTGAATTTAATGATTTTGTAGTGAGTTCAGCTTTTTGTTTAAGTTCTTCTAGCACTGATGATTTTTCTTTCATAAATGAATTGTAAGATGGTTCATGAGGTTTTGGAGGATTTACAACCACATCCATTGTTAGCTAACAATTATGAAAATGAAAGCAGAAATCGTTTGATTTAATAATTATTAATTGAGTTTATTGAAGAGGAAAGTAGATATATGTCCACAGATAAATCAGAAATTGAAGCAAACTTTTTATTGGAATTTTTGAAGCAAAATATAAATATAAGGAATGATAGTCGGTGGCTAACAATTGAATCCATGATGCATGTTTCGTTCTGTTTGTGACTCGTCGTCTACACGTAATTGTATCCCCGAGTTGATATCCACTTAAGGATTCGAACCTAGTGCTACTTTTCGAACGCCATTGCGTTATTCTACTGAGTTTAGATAGCCACTGGCTTGTGCAACGAGGTGAAGTTTTGAATTCATATGTGTTGGATTTTGGAATTTCCCCACTGATATTGAGGACCGAAATTGATCAGTTTCTTCTGGCACATCTGGACTCAGTAACTAAGTGGATATCTCGATGGCCTTTGAGATGGACGCTACTGAGTTCGAGTTCCGGAATGAACACAAACTCTGGGATAGAGGTATATCTAAATCACGAGTCCCATTTAAAACGAAACGCGCTTCCTAGATTCCACTGCTAGCCACCATCCATCGATGCTTGTGACTCAAGACAATGTCAGAATGGTCTGTGACAAAAGAGACTACTTGCCGTTCTAAACATCAATGAGAATATTCAAATAACCAATATAAATGAATTAGAAATATGAATATATATTTTCAAACAGAATATTCTAATTTCGATCACTTGAAACTATCTTAAAGTTATCACTGGTAAAATTAAATTCTTAGAAATAAAGGTGTCAGTTGGCGTATAAAGCTGTGGTATATATCATAAACTTTCAAAGTTTGACTGAATACAATCTTATAACCTGATGGGTAAAAGGCAAATGCTTTAACTATTGTATCACCTTTTCATATAGACTTTTGGAAGCTCCAAATTTCACCGATATGAAAACAAATATGGGAATTCGGACAGCTACAGTATTAATACTTTCAATGTAAATCTATGTATTGAAAAGGAGTATTACATTTAAAAGAGAATCTTGCGAATGTAAAATATGATACAAAGCAACCACGCCAACCAAAACAAAAATAAGGAAAATAAGCTATACTGCCGTCAGAAATTATGACGATACTTACACAAGAAACAAAATCTAGTTGATGAAAAGATTTATTTAGCAGAAAAGAATCTTATTTCTCTTGGTTTATCAAACCGGGGTGACAGTAAAAAGACCATTGATTTGTAATATGGAAAATGGTTTACTAGCTCTTTTTGATGGAGTTTTGTTCTCTGAGCTGGATCGTTTGGTCGTGGAGCTTTCATCGTTCTTCTGAACAACATCATCAGCACAAACTTCAGATAGAAGTGAAACGTTCGAATTTCTCCATATGCGTTTCACAGCTTGTTCTGTACACCTCGATGTTGATTGGTTCTTATGGACCTTAAATTTATCATTGTTTACTTCTTTGTGACATTTTATGAACCCTATACTCCATCTCAGTTGTCATTTTGTCATCTTTTAAATACGTATGTAAAATGTTCTTTTGGCATAAGTCACAGACATTATTCTAACCCAACATTCCATTATAATCAAATTTGTGATTAGTTTGTCTTCTATTTCTTAAGAAAATGACCTAGAAGATCGTAAGATCTAATCATAATCAGTAAATCCTGTGTCTTACTTATTACTTATTTTACCTTGCTTATTGGATCTAGTTATTAATAGATCCTTATTGTTTTCTTTGGATCACTTAGGATCTAGTGTATTACGTGAATTTCCCGATAGAAATTGTCATAATTGAACTACTTCATCTGTGACATTAGGAACGCATTTTATTTTTTATGGATTTCATCTAGGTGGTGTCTCTCTGGAATTCATCACTTTTGGCCTTAAAACAAAAAAATAACGCAAAAACGAATTTGTAGGTGTTCTTATTAAGGTTCGACTTGATAATTTCAAATAAATTGAACATAGGGTAGATTGTTATTAATGAAAATAATACATTTGTAATATCCCAATGTATAGAAAAACTAGTTTTTTAGTTTTCTAACGTTTCATGACTCAGTGTAAACCACATCTTCATGGAGTAAATAAACAAAGTAAATTAACTCAAGTTTAGATAGTACAAAGGGACAAAGCAAGAATATTTGATGCAGTCAATCAAAAACAGGTCTGACCAAGTCAATGTCATTCCGGTCAAGGTGATTTATATGAGAGATGTTTGAATATTTGTGTGTGTACTTATGTCAAAGGATGAAAAAATGTGACATTTGTGGTGTGAGAGGATAGAGTAGAATTTATATGTACCATAATGGTGTGAGATGTGAATAGAATCAGATATGGTAGCTCGGGTAGATGGTTCAAGTCGGATGGATAGTGAGCCCTTCCTTTCCATTGGAGGCCGTACGATTAAGTAATATATAGAAAGCTTCAACTACTCGCCTTTCCTTGTAGTTGGAATAGCCTTCTTGTATTATTTTGGTGTTTTTAATATAGACTTGATGGTTGTTGAAAATGTCATGAAGTGATATTGTCGATTTCATTCGGAGTTCATTTTCATTCTTGTACATAAATTTAATGTGAGATGAAAATGTATAGATCAGTTTAAAAAAGATCTTAGATGAGTCTTTTTTTATAACAACAAAAGTATCATCTACATATCTAAGTCACGAAACGTCAGAAAGTTAAAAAAATAGATTTTTTTAATCACTGGAATACTACAAATAGTTGAAATCATGAGTCAATTGAAGCTAGAACACCATGGAAAACCTCCATGCACTGGACGGCCGTTTCGTCCTAGCATGGGACTCCTCAGCAGTGAGCATCCACAATCCCCACGCGGGATTCGGACTCAGGACCTATCAGTCTCGCGCGCGAGCGCTTAACCATTAGACCATTGAGCCGGCATCCAACGGTGTAAATGTCTAACTTCGGCCAATCCACGAAATCATGCCACCGTACACCATTGTCTTCAGTGAGCTGATATCTCACAACAGACCTGGTTGAACTTCATTGGTAACAGCTTCTCACTAGAACTCCAGGAAATGCCTCTTGAAGTCAGCCACTAGTGAGCAGATGATTATTATTCCCATTTAAATATTCAGTAAAAAAAGATGAATAGAGTAAAGAAATTTCATTTATTTTTCATTATAACTTTATATTGATAGATATAAATGTGTTTTAGAACAATTTCAAAATGGTTATGCAAATCAAAGTATTTGTAAAAATTAAACTCTTAGATTATATAATATATGAAAAGACAATGAACAAAATATATTAGACAGACTACACATATACCAAGAAAAATATTGGGATACTTTCTAGACAAGGTCAAATTGAATCGATTAAGTGTGGTATGGTGTACATTATTTATATTGTATGATAAAGAATCAATAAAGACAAGTGAAATAGTTCATGGTGCATAAATGTATTAAACAATTGGTGGATACAGTTGGAATGTTAACATTCAGACCATATTTTTCATAATATAACACAATAGTGAATCAGTGTACTTTTCAGTTAAGTTATGAGGATATAATCAATACTCAATACAATAGTTCTTCTATGAAATCTGATTCAAATTTCATTAATGTTAGAATATTTACATAAGTAGGCAGAAGGGTATTTATTTATTTGAACACATAATTTTTTGTATAAATGGGCACCGAATACATATGCGCTACACAAGTCACTTGATTTGTGTGTGGGATGTGATACTGCCCGGGTGTCCACACCGAAGCAAGTGGTTTCCCTAGGGGATCACTCCCCAGACCTTCGACCTGAAGGTCTAATCCACAAGGTAGTGGGGCAACGTCAGGAGATGCAGTACCATGGCAGTCGCTCATCAACAATTGGTTCATACGCCATGTGTCCCCTCAGGATGCTGGAGCCTATGTGCATCATTGGGTCTTCAAAGTCCTCTAGGTGGATCCGCCATGTCCACCAACCTGGTTAAAGCGCTAGACATTCGCTTTTTGTCACCTCAATTTCGTAAACAACACTCCCGCTGCGAGAAAGCAGTGGGTGGGACTTCCCTGGTAATGGCTGTATACGCGTGGTCATGTGAGAGCATTTCGAGAGGAAGAGCGGACTCTCCCCACCCTCGGCCGTACCAGGGCATTTGGGGACCAGAAAATTATTCCACAAACAGATATACGAAATTACTTAGAATCAACCTGTGAAAACCACCTAACCAAAGGAAATCAACCGTCATAAAATAGATGATTAAGAGAAGACTATCAGCTGAATACTTTCAACAGCACGATGTTTTACACTAACTTGAGAACAATGACTACATAAGCATTTATAGTAAAAGCCTGATCGACTCAATGTATTATTTAATGCGTTTCTCCATTCTGAATATTAAAATAACCATTAAGAATAAAAGATGTAACCACTTAGCTATATACCGTCGTTTCATCAATTTTTAATCTCCATTAGCAATAGAAGCTGACACATAAAGTCATCCTTATGGATACAGACTATCCAACTTTGTGAAATTTTATAAGGACCAAATAGATTTTTAAGAGTCCGCAAACTGTTCTTGGTTAGGTGTTAGTATTAGAGACTCTATTTGACTAGTTCACCAGTAAAATATAACAACACTAGCTTAAGGTTTGCTTCAAAATGAAGGGTCTAGGGCTAGGATTTAGTAGTGTTGATTTTCCTGTTATATACAAAATCGAGCTCTTGATGCATTCAACACCACTGCTTTTACATTATGATAACAAAAAAAATAATTTTTTCGTTATCATTTTAAACGTTTTGAGCAGTATACATGGGTGTTTCTACTGCTCATTAGACATGATAGTGAAATTCGGAGTAAAAATCTGATTGACTCGTCTCTAAAATATAGCACATTTAGCAGCTCATTCTTGAGTTTACAAACGATCTCTCATTAACGTTGCAATTTATAATAATACGTATCATATATTCCTCATTGATCTGTAAGAGATTGATTATCATACAAGATTTCCCCAAATCACATAAAATTAAATATTAGGTATAGACAGAGAGCTTATCTTTCTTTACCTTCAATCGATAAAAATGTCATTAGTGAACAATTAGTATATTATTTTCATAATGACATTAGGTATATATAACCGAATATAAAGTGGATTTATGAAAACAAAAATAGGTCAAGGATATTTAAATACAAACCGGTCATACTCTAAAACGTTGAATAAAGTTAATTTTCTCCTTGAATCTTTGTACTTTTAAATAAAATCACTTACTTGACCCAATAATGAAGAACATAGTCGAGCTGAAAGGGATTTATATAATTGTTGTTGAACATCTTCAGGAAAATTCACAAGTTCACAATATCCACCGCGAAGACCACATCTGATTCGATAGAAATGAAATTATTTTAAAGATACTCGATGAATTAATCACTTATGTATTGCTTAACATGAATGTTTTTGCAAAAATATCTTTTAGACTTGTAATTTGGGTTACTAGGTGGTCGATTTTGCAAAATTAAATACTGCAATTGATCGGACTCGTTAGGCTAAATTAAATTAAAATTCATACGTCATGTGCTAGTGAATGGCTGTTTAGACTCAATAGCTAAATGGATAACACGTTTTAAGCAAAAAGCATTGAATTCGAGTCCTATAGTGCACATTAACAATGGAATGCAGAAACATGCGCCTAACGAGTCCCATATAGGACAAAATACACATCATGGATTCCATTACTTCTTTTGATTGACATGCTAGTCAATTTGAGAAGTTGTTTTTTTTATTCATGCGTCCAGATGATTTGTAGCGTCGAACGATTATCCAAAAAATAAGCCACTAAAATTTAATTATTATGGTGCATAGTGCAAGTGAATGTATTTATTCGATTTCTTCGATACCTTGTTTCGAAATGTAAGCTTAATAGGAGTTTTTTTATCTAGTGGTTATTTTTACGACCATTTTCTGTTAAAAATGTTTCAAAATCAGTCTACGCTTTTTTCCCACATTTTAGAAGTTATGTTATTGGTTGTAAACCTGTTTGATGAGCGTTACCTAATTACTGCATATCAATACACTATTTTATAGATGAAAATCAACCAAATGAAGTGTAAAATGTACTACTTATGGTAATTTAAACGGAAAAACTGAGAAATATCGGAAATTATTGAAAAACTGACTATTAAAAACCACTCAAATCCTACGGCATTGGAAAAATGCATAAAAGGAGTAATTCAGCCGCAGCTAATCTGTGTGTAAATAACCTCTATTTCTGTGTTAATACAGTAAGCGAATAGTACGCAAAAGCACTAAATAAACCAAAAAGAATATAGTGGGGTTCAAACTAGTGAAAATAAAGAACAAAATGTAAGAAGACAAAAAATAAATACAAATTTCACAAAAATGAAATTCAATATTGTCATGCAGGAATCAATTCTTGTATGAAACAGAATTCTATAGCCTGAAAGTTGATTTTATTTCAACGACATAATTGAATTTCATAATTTCTAAATAATATACAGAAATAAGTGTTTTACGTAAAGATCAAACTTGTCCAATGATTTTAGATGGTCAATATAATAAAAAAGCTTATAAAATTGTTTTATATTGCCTATTTTAAATAGAATGTTAAGACTAGAGAACAAAATCAGTTTATTCAATTCATGTGTATTGTTCGACTGTGACTAAACAGTAGGTTACAATCATGTATATTGAATTATTGGAAAATAAACAACATTTACGAAAAAAAATGAAGGGGGAATAGGTATTCGTGAATGTAAACTTAGTTCCTCATAATATATAAACAAATAGGCAGGCTGATATTACTAACAGTTAGAGCTGATATTTGTACGGAAAAGTTTCCGTCAGTGATTGATCAACTGCAACACACACATTTTTGTACGTCATAAATTAATTATGTACCGTGCTAGATATTATTCGTTGTCAAAATTTTAGAGAATTCCTTATTACAATTTATAAACAAAGAAAACATTGTCTGTTTACCTTTTTTTCAGTAGCTCCAGGGTTATAATGTGATTAAATATTTCATAATCTTTTACTGAAATAAGACAAATTCTTAAACATAGGCTTTAATATTTATCCGTGTATGTGAAATTTAATAACAGAGAATGAGTGAAAAGATTTAATTGATTGTATTACTAAAATATATGGCAACATAAATAATCGTAGTGAGACTATTATTTATAGACGACCTTTGAGCGACGTTACGGTAACCTTGAGAAAGTCCACCTATTTACTAGGGTCAAGAGACGGTTATAAATTAGTGTGTGGAATTAGGATTAAGAATAACAGTTAGGGGTTTCAGCATCAATTGACATTAACCATAATGCTAAAATGCTATTTAACCATATGGATGGATGAATTTCGCGTCAGAAAATAAGAATTGCTATCTTTACTTTCATTGGTTTGTTCACACACTACATTCTCACCACAACCTCATATGACACATATTAATCAGATTGTTTTTAACCGTCAGTGTAATTTTATATCAAATCATTGAATTTTGTGTCCTCATTAGAAAATTGGTTAGTGGAAACTAGATATCGGTTAACAAAACCTGACTAGTGCACATATCCCAAGATGTGAACTGAAGCTTAAATATATAAGCGCTTATATCTCCAACTTCAAGGCATAGTGATACATGTTCAAGTTAAGGAGCAACATCGATTGTGGATTGTACAACAGACAGTGTATTCTAAACATGACATTTTCACTGGTTTTTATACATATATTAACCGTGGTCAAGCGCAGATACTTCATTATGTCATTATTGTTTTCTTGAACTATAAAAGGAGGAGTTACTGATACACATACCAGCTTACTGTTTTATGGAATCTTCATTGATAATAAACTACAAATCAATAATATTTAATAGTTTCGAATGATAAATCAGTCCAGTTATTCATAAACAACATGAAACCATCCTATCATCACATTATAGTACAACGAGACAAAATATACAAAATTTATAGAAAAGATTTATAGGTACAAGTAGCAGTGAAAAACTTAACAAACTAAGCACAGAAAATGTGGTTCAAAGAAAAACACACTACTCAATTTAGTTAATTCAGTTTACAACTCATCATATTTAGAAGCAAAAATATTTCAGTAAGTTGGTATATTCGATTGATAAACTCTTTAAAAAATAGACACTCGTAAAACTGTTGACCAACTAAAGGTTAAGGGATACAACTAGTAGGAGATGGGGGATTAGTATGCCTATATTAAAAGAAAACTTAACAAAGCCCACGTATTTGATCTATACATACAGATCCAGGTGTGAAACCAGTCTGGTTTTTACAGGTTAGTTGTTTCTTAGTCGCATCTAAGCTGTGGATAATTATACAAGCTAATAATTTAGAAATTATATTAGTTAGACTGATTCCTCAGTACTTATCGTAAGAGGATTTTTATCCTATTTTTTATAAACTGGGACGATTATAGATTGAAACTAGTCAGATGGAATAAGGTATAGTTTCAAATAACAATAGTACACAATAAAACTGATAATATTTTACTAAGTAATATTGATAAAGAAGGTAAACTATCAGATAACTAATTAATCTGTATTTATTATTATGATGATTAAAGATGTTTGATGATGACTTTGACAAGTTCTGGATTGGTCGTCGAGGGGATAACTGAGGACAACATTCCTAGTCTCTTATTCTAGAGACTGCAATTATGTATAGATATATACTTTCTTTCAGATGGTAACTGAGACTTATGAGGTCATTGGTTAACAGTAACACATGGATCTTACTATTTTCATCGTGAATATCTGAATGTATATCACATCAAATATGAGATTATTGTGTTATAGCTGTTAGTTCAGGAGCTATATTTAATATTTATTAAACGATGATACAGTAGTCAATTAACATCCAATGAAACTAAATGATGTAAAACTCTAGTCATAATTAATTGCATATGCTCTAAAAACAACTTACTCTCCCATATAGCCTTTACTACATGACATAAATGATGCTAACTGTAATTCATTGGAAATCCTTCCGCCAATATCATATAAAGCGCGTTTAAATGAGATGAATCCTGAATCTGGTGAATAAATATTATGTTGATAAACTTCATCGGCTAACACAACTAAATTATGTTTGTAAGCGAATTGTAAAACGTTTGTAATTGTGTCTTTTGATAGTAATTGACCTGTTGGATTGCCAGGATTGATTACTACCAAAGCACGTGGAATACATTTATCATTGCATTTTTTTAAAGCTTCTTCCAACTGTTCAATACTTAGGTCCCATCCATTTGATTCATCCAAGTAGTAATCAATCTTAACGAGAAAAATAAACAGATTTTAAAACGGTTTGATTAGAGTATGTGAATTTGTGGTAAGTATATGGCAGTGCATTGAAGCTATAAATTGAAGTTTTACTATTATTATAGTAATTCGACTTTGGTTTTTACGACAAACGTCAAAGAGCAAACATGAAGCTTTTTATTTATTATGACTAAGACTAGTATGGACAAGTCTGTCATATTGAAAACATGTTTAAAAATATAATCAGTCCCCGTTTAAATGGTCAGTAAATCCAGCTAGGGATTTCTAGAGAAATTACACTTACGTATTGCTGTCTTTCTGATGATAAACTCGATAGACTTTTATTTTAATAAAGTACAGCTGCGTTTAGGTTAATGACATATATTCAACTGAAAAGGTCATGACTTCATATCTGGATCTATTTAATCTGACCAAAGTACTAATTGATCTGGTATGGACTAATAAGAACAGTGTATACATGGATCAGTGAGTCAGAGCACATAATCCACTTTTAGTGAGCGTTAACACTTTTTCTCCGGTCAAAAAATTCATACAGATTGATTGTCGCTTATTGGAGAAGTAATATCAAAAAGATCTATTGTAGATTATGTGAAATATATCATCTAATCAAAAAGTAAGAATTCATTTTTGCACTGCAAGAAACGCGTACCCTGGATTTCATTGCTAGCCACCATTCATCTCTGCTTAGAAAGTAAGAATCATTTTTGAAATTTTATTCTCTGACTTGGATAGCAGAAATCACTTTGTGGGAACTGAAGAAGGAAACGTCAAAAATTGTTAATGTTATGGTAAAAGTAATTCAGCAGAACCTTTTTTTATTAACAAGTCAGTTATACGTAACGTAGAATGTGTTACATGTGCGCGTCGATTCGGTTTATCATACCATAATAGCACAGCAAAATGCAATTGTTGTAGTAAATCCAAGAGCAGCAAAGATAGTAATAATATTAGTTGTAATAGAAAAGTTTAGACATGGAAGATGGAATTCTAGAGGAAAATATAAATAAGTGGAATGAAAAAGTTTTTGGAGTAGTTTTTACTTAGCTCCTATTACAGTGCAAGCTATCCTGTCATTGAGTTTTGAACTTAGTGGGAATATACAAGAGCCATTATCTCAAATGTAATTGGTTCGTCAGAAAACGATAGTTTTACCTATCTGTACAGACACACGTGAAATATTTAATCTGAATAATAGAGTACAAAACTATGTCATCAATGTTACTATGACTACGTTTACATGGTTTGCTGATCATGCACTGATGGGTGAATAAAAATATGATTCATGCATACTACAATATCAAAGACGAATGTCAACAGTGGTCAATTAAATTTAAGAATAAAACCCTTCATTTTCAAAAAAATGTTATTGATATACGGATCGAAGTTTATTCATTATAAAAATGAGATAAAGTCAAGGTGCATAGATTGGTTTTATTTTTGTATTCAGTTTGCTCCACAACGCTTTTGTTACGGATCATTTGTAAATGTGGGTCAGCTTATGCCACAACATGCTCATGTGAATAGTTAGTTATGTACAAGAATTAGATGCTCACTAACAGTGATGGAACACTATCTTATTGACTGACAGAGTTAGGGTAAAAAAAACTCTATTTAAGAATAATAACATAGTTGAAAAACTGTCACCAAGATATATTTAAGGGGATTACAACACATCATGTTCTGGAAGCTAAACTGAAAAGCAATATTATTTAGGAAACTATCACACTGAATGATATGTTATAAACAGATTAATAAATATGGATTAGAGCCTCGAAATTACAGTTTGTCAATATAAATGTTGTTAATGGTGAACATATATATTAATCGATCAGTTTACCTGATAGGCGTTATATTCAGCATTTGTTGCTGAATAAAGAGGATATTGAGGTATGGGGACCATAATACCAGAACGTTTGGATCCATCTTCTCCAGTGGATATCAATTGAAGAATTGACTAAAGGAAATATGAAGATTATATATATATATATATATATATATATATATATATATTGCTTTTTAAACTTTCTATCGTTTATAATCATGACTTATAACCATATGACGGTACAGAAAACATTTACAGCACTGTATATATGAACTTCAATAGAATTATATTATCTTCATATACTATACAGATCGTTAGGTATTCACGTGAGAGAAGCTAGGAACGAAAATTGTTGGACTTACTTTAATCTTAAAAAGAGCGAAATAAATCTGTTGTAACATTAAGCAACGAATAAAAATGTATTGAAGAATTTACAAATTATTGAACCTACCAGTTTCCACATGTTTGTAGTGAGATTTTAATTTAAGAATCGGTATAAGACAGATTCATCCCACTCTCATACATTATGTGAATAACAGTAAGTTTATAATCTTCATAAATTATTGTGTTAAGCAATAAAATATTTTAAACTAGCTTCAACTATAGATTTATCAGATGAATAACCAATGATTAAATAAACAGTTGATGAAGGGCACATAAAGCCTCTGGTAGTAATCATTATACACAACACCACAAGAATTTTCAAAAGAGGAACAAAATAAAAAGAGAATTCAGAGAAGAAAATCTTCTTTTCGACGAAATCATTTGCTTAAGCTGTACATTCGTAAATATAGTTATATGGAAAATATATGTCTATAGGAGGATAGAAAAGATTGCATCACAAAAATGGATTCGAGAATAAATAACAAACGAGGTTACGTACTAATCAAGGAGTAAGGAAGAAAATAATTTATGGAGTTCAATTGACAGATATGAAGAAAAGCGACAAACATAGAGGTCATAATAATAGACTGAATAATAATCAAGAAAACTTGCATAAGGTAGTACTAATAACTCATTAGTTTAAAATGCAAAACAGTAATTCAAAAAATTCAATAATAATCAAATTAAAGTGCAGAAGAACAAGCAGAAAAAGAATAGAAAAACCCAGAAACGTACCCATCGAAGGAATTAGGGCCAAGGAAGGATGAGAAGTTGGACAAATCGTTTCTGCATGCAAAGTTCAGGCTTGAGTTTATGGATTGCCAACGCCTTGGCAGTGCATAAAATATTGATTCGACCCCCCCTTCGATCCAGTTCCTCTGGCCCTGTAGATTACTTTAAAAGAAGAGTCCTTTGGAGCAATGTATCCACAACTAATTAAATGCTCCTGTACCTAACTGGTAATTGTTTTACATTCTCCTTTTAAGAGCCAAGCCGGATGGTGTTCCAAGATGCGTTTGGAAAGTGATCGCTTTGTTCGGCCTATGTAACGTGCCCCACATGAGCAAGTAAATTTATAGATACACACTGATGTGGCCCAAAGCGGAAGTTTATCCTGAACACATCCCAAATGGTAGGTCGGTTAGACAAAACAATTCGGAGCTTAGCTGCGTAGAATGTTTTATTCAACGATTTTGAAATCCGTTAATTTAAGATTTTAGCAGCCGTATCTCCTTTAAATTTTATGTTCATAAACAGAGTTTTCTTCTGTACTGTCGATGCTTTTTCCTGATGAAGTCTAGGTGTTGAGTCGCTATCGACGAATTTTGGTGAATAACCATTTCTAATGAGAGTTTGTTGAAGTTGAGATAGTTCCCCATCTATTGTGTCATTGGAACAACACAACGAATTTTTGCTTCCCCTCATGAGGTGAAACAACCAGTGATTACCACCAGCCAGGTGGAAGTACGTTCCACTCCAAATTTCTAACTAATACTCGTCAGTTTAATCAGTAATGACGCTCAAAAGCTGGAATTATAATATCAGTGTTTTCTGTTATTATGTCTAAGACAGTTACGGACTTTCCAACTTAGATGCGACTGAGAGGCTAGATATAATTATTTAAATAAGGTAACTGGTGTGTAGCTGAATGCCAGTTAACTCGTTCGTACAAAGTGTTCTTTACACTGCGTGAGTATCCTGTTTTAAAGTGGACCACTGGGAAAGTTTTGTTATGTGCAGTTTTACTAATTACTGATATTTGAAGCTTTGTCTTCTTGTACAGCTAACACAATTGTTTGGGTATCTTTTCTCTCTTGAAGTTTGGTCTTTATCATGAATATTACTGGACGTAAACTTCCAGCTTTCGGATGATAAAAGTTGCGGAATAATGATGAAAATTTCGAGTTCATGACTTGTAAGTTTATGATGAACGGAATTGGATAATCGATGCTTGATCTACAGACCATAAAACACTTGAAGTAGAACTTCTAATGGTAGTTAGAGGTTTTAACAAATTGATTACTGTATCTTATAAGTGCCTAAACTAGTTACTGCTTCCAAACGTTCCGCTCCCACGACCAAGAAAATCTTAAGAATTTTGTTTCTGACGATCTGAGTATACTAAATCGTCGTCTTGACCAAATATGCTTCAAGAACCCACATGAATTCGGTTGCATCCATATTATTACTTTTGAAACAAGTGAGTCAATTCCAGACAATGCAGAATATACCTCCAATATAGATTCGAATATACGTTTAACGAGCTTACAAAAAAACCCAGAAAGGAAGACAAAAGTCCTGACTTTATTTTAATCTTTGGATATCTTATCATAATCGATTAATACTTTACACATTTTCACATTTCTTTATCAATATTTAATAAAGCCAATTCATATGTATTTACCTTCTTCTCCTGTCTTCATATACTGGTTTGTTCGCGATTGACAAAGTAGGTTTTGAACAAGCCAGAGAAACTCTAGTTTATTAAATACAACTATATTGTTCCCTTAAAGCTACAAATTGTGTTGGATTTTCCTTGTTCGAGTACAATTTCCAATTTCAGAGAGCGAACTATATTGTAATAAGTTTACGGCTATCTCAAACGCACGACTCAATGATTTCATTAAGTGGAAATATAAATTCCTGTGCACATGAATACCAAACCGGTAATTAACAAACAATAAAAGTAATCATACTTACCTTAACGGCTTCACTTGCCCCATTGGATAAGAAAATATTTTGGGGATTAGCTGATAACTGATCCCGTTGTTTTATGTATTGTGCAACATCTTCGCGGACAACTTCTACGCCTGTAGACTGGCTGTAGACTCCTATGATATGAAAAATTAATTATACGTCCATAGGTAAAAAAGTTATTGGGCATCTGTTAGTCTACACATTGTTAACAACAGATCATAAAGCTTAGCGGTACCAAACATCCACAACAGTATTATTTTGATCTACAACTGAAACCATAATATTTTCAACTTCAAAGGTGAACTATTAGTAAATTAAAAGTCCAGAGGAATCTTCATGGGTGGGATCGTGACAACAATTCTAATTTAGGTGAACGAAAACCATACCAAAGTCCAACTGCATAAGTTAAGTGCACCAATAAGACGGTGAATTTCAGTTAGTTGAAACCACTGGAGTCCGAGACTGACTGAAGTAGGAACATAATATGACTTTAAGACGACTAAACAATTATAATTTGAGTTATTGATCAGAGAATGTATCGTAAATTAGTCACAGCTGTGACGGAGTATTTACGTATTTGACTTCCGTTTATTTAAAACCCTTTCGTATTTTACGCTATCACACTTCATTAGCGAATTGTAATCTGCAACAGTATAGTAAGTCATGTTGACCTTAGCTGATTTACACTTAGCTTGTTAGATTTTGAATATAAGTGGGCATAAACGAATGTGGCGTCTGTAAATTAAGCAAACCTACAGGAGTTGCAAGGCAAAATAGACCAATCTGTCTGAAAGTGAAATTTATCGCGAAGTAACTTAAGCAGGACAACTACTTAAAACCAAACGTCACAAAGAAACTGGTCTATAATACTATGTATCTTTAGCAAAAGGTTGTTGAGACCCGTTGATCTGACTCCAAGATCGTATAGATGTTTGTTATCGCTGATTCTCGTATATCATCGTCGACTTGAATCGCGTTATCCAATAACGGAATTAAATAAGTCGAATAACGAGAATTGACTTGAGAATACATATATTTCGTACATGAAGCGAATGAAGCACAGCAAAGCAAAATGACACGTATGGAAGATGGCTGGGAAGCCAACTCCCTTTTAGTCAAGTGTTATTCCATATTTATAGGCAGACAAAATAAGCTACAGACATACAATGAATCATGTGACATGAAATGTACACTCATATACGCTCATATAAAAAAACAGTCAAGACTGGCAAGCGGATAATTGACAAGGTCAAAATATGGCTCAAGTAAAATGAATAAAATAGGATGTCCGGAAGTTAGAATAAGGTACATGGGCTTGCCATAATAACTGACACTACATAGCCCCCTCGTAGAAAATAGCACATTTTAAAAAAATGGCTGTTTTCGAAAATAACAGTGAAGTGGTGCGTAGTTACGCACGTGGAAGAATAGATAAAATGAACGTAATGGTTACTAATCAGCTAGTTAGAGGCATCCACATACATAATAGGAGGCGACTTCGAAATGAAAAATGTATGTTGTGATAACATAAATTGCCGACCTCGACTAAGTGAATGAATGTAATATTAGATCAAAATGACATGAAAAATTGGAACGAACTCACTTAAAGGAGGAAAATTTCACGTTTTTGAATAGTAAAAATATCCCAAAGAGTTCTCACAAAGTTAAGTGGAATTTTCATAAAATGATAATTTGTTCGGTGAGTAATATGATTGTGAAAATGTCAATTTAGTGACAGCACGAACAAGATTAATAATTCCACATTCGGTCATCATATTGGCAATAATGTAATAATAAGCATATAATGATAATTTGAATCGTAATGGAACAATCCGACAAATGGATCAATGAGAATGGTTGACATGAGGACAAAGTATCAATAAGATAATACGACTTGAGCATGTCCATGTCATGTTGCACAGGCTGTGCTGATTGCGTCGGATTGGAGATTGCGCTGGCTTCGCTGAATTTGTTCGTCGAACGAATGGAGTGCAGAAGTTCCTTAATCGACGTAGCTTGCTGCGTTGCGTTCGTCGTCGGCGGGCTTACCAATGAAGTAGCCCGTTTGATCTGACTCCAAGATAGAGTGTACGAATGTCTGCTATCGCTGATTCTCGTATATCATCGTCGACTTGAATCGCGTTATCCAATAACGGAATTAAATAAGTCGAATAACGAGAATTGACTTGAGAATACATATATTTCGTACATGAAGCGAATGAAGCACAGCAAAGCAAAATGACACGTATGGAAGATGGCTGGGAAGCCAACTCCCTTTTAGTCAAGTGTTATTCCATATTTATAGGCAGACAAAATAAGCTACAGACATACAATGAATCATGTGACATGAAATGTACACTCATATACGCTCATATAAAAAAACAGTCAAGACTGGCAAGCGAATAATTGACAAGGTCAAAATATGGCTCAAGTAAAATGAATAAAATAGGATGTCCGGAAGTTAGAATAAGGTACATGGGCTTGCCATAATAACTGACACTACAAGGTACATACGAGCATGAAGACTTACATCTTCAAGTTTGAAGATATTGGTTAACTTGCTAGGATATTGGTGTTGAATACAGTAGTTAACATTTCTTTGTATGACCAACCATTTGATGAACCTGAAACTGAAATTCTTCCTAAAAATTATCCGCTGGGCTCCTATTAAGTTTTGAATGCATTGTCGCCCCAGGTCAATATTTTTACTTACCCATGTCATTTAGTTATTTTCAAAATCTCTTGCGGTTAACTTCATCTGTTGTCTCAAAAAGTAAAAACACTAACTAGTTGAATATTGCATGAAGGGGTATTACTTTGTTTGTTGATGAATACTTATAGAATTCCCAATTCAAGTAAAAGTGACAATGAAATCACCGAAAGGAACTGTTGCAATGGTAAACAATCCACAGAAAGCAGTTTAAAATAGTAATTATTCATAATATTCCTTAGTATGCCTGTCCACAAAATAGCTAATCAACTTGGCAATCAAACTCGTTTAGGTTTGTGAGTAACCGATAGTAGTATTTCCCTGATATTTTCCCCTTACTTGCCAGTTACCTGTTGGTTTGACGCAAACTATCTGTACATAATGTTTAGGAGAACTTGACATCACTGTCGTTCAATACTAACGTGTCGCTCACCTTCACTAGGATGGGTCTAATTATCAGTTTTAGTGTTTTTAATTATTAAAGGCATATTACCGGACATATAAGTGTAATGAAAATGAATGGCGGTACTAACTTGGTATATCTAGCGTTATATCTAAAAATTTAAACGAAGTCACATAATGATGCCGAACACAAAACATACGTCAGGACTTCGTAGAAATACCTACTCTATTTGATAGAAAATGAAATCGCTGAACGAGCCAGTTGATTCAAATTAGGACAAGTGTTAGTTGGATTAATTTTATTAATACACACGCAGTTGACGGACTAAATTAATTTCCAAGGGACTCCCGGATGCTATTAATGAAGCAAGGGGAATGAGAACCGTTAGACTAATAACCAACAGCATTCGATCAAACATTTTAAGCGACTGAGATAACGTTAACATACGTCATGTAAAATCACACTTCGAATAATTGATATGGTCTGGTCAAAAAAATCATGAGTTTATTCAAATGAATTACCAACACTTCCACCACAACTGTCCAAAAATCTCCTGGCTCTTAATTTAGCATCGTCTTGAACTAAGTTGGTATCCATTATATGCGTATTTGTCGCGGCACACAAAACTTCACGAATAAATGAGATGGGCCTTTGACCAGACGCATGGCAGTCTCCAATATTGCAACGGATAATTTTGTTGAATCTTTTTTTTGATCCCTGATTATAATTAATAGCTAAAATGAACTAACTTGGGATATTTCTCTCTCTAGTTCTAGCGCCCTAAGTACTATCGGTCCACGGACAGCATACTGAAGCTTCACCACATGAGGATTGATAGTATCACAACTCATTTTTTGATATCCACGAACAGTTAGATTGGTGCACGAGCGACCTATAATCTTCACCAAGCGAAATCCACACATGATTTCTTGAAGTCTTTGAAAATTTGCCGTTTGCGACCTTGGAATTCAAAAAGCTAAACAATGGACACTATATTGTGAAGCATTTTAGAGAATCATCATATCTGTTAACGAATTATTACTGTCAAGTCTTTATTTACCGCGACCTAGTCAATGTAATGATTTATCTTTGCGATACAATGTGTCTTACGTAACGTTACTGGGGAGTGACTCGACAAATTAGAACACAGTGTAATTAAATTTATTCCTGGGAGCAACAAGATATTTGGAAAATGGATAGTTTTAACGTATTGTACCCAGTAACAGGAAAATGCATCTGAAAGAGGAATGGGTACAGGTTTGAGTTCTAAGCTAGACTTTTCTTTGCAGGCTTTTAATTCTGCATCGTCTGCTTGTAATTTAGCCAAGGTTTCAAGGCTGATGTCATGATTGAGTACCATCGTATTGATATCCCTCCTAGATAGTGCATCTGTGACAATGTTTGTGTGACCTTTGATAAACCTGATGTCTGTGGTAAATTGGGAGATATAATCAAGTTGTCTTGCTTCTCGTGGGGAGTGTTTGTCATACGATGTGCTAAAAGAATGGTAAAGGGGTTTGTGATCTGTCACAATGATGAAATCACGACCCTGTAGCAAAAGGTTGAAATGTTATACTGCTAAATACATAGCTAAGAGTTCGCGTCCAAAAGTACTATAACGTTCTTGTGCTGGCGATAATCTCTTGGAGAAAAAGGCAACGGGGATAATCGTGTTGTTTACCCGCTGTCGTAATACTTCCCCGACGGCTTTTTGTGAAGTATCCGTGCATAGGATCAACAGTGTTGTGGGGTCAGTATTTAGGTGTTGGTGCATGGTAGCATTAGCAATCATGAATTTAGCTTTTTCAAATGCTACTTTGGCATCGGAAGGTAACTTGAATATTTGGTTCTTTTCTTTCTTGGTACCTGATTAATCGTTTTTCAGTAAGCCTGTCAATGGCTGTAGCACATCGGCACAATTTGGTAGAAATGGTCGATGAAAATTGCATGTTCCAAGAAAACGACGCAGTGATTTGACTGAGGTTGGTTCTGGGTAGCTGGTGATGGCTTTGACTTTCTCCTCAAGCGGTTTAACTCCTTAGGAATCAATGTGGTATCCCGGGAATTCCAGAGATGAGGCGCCAAATATACACTTCGAAGGGTTGATTACAACACCATAACTTTTGAAACGTTCAAAAAGCGTGTGTAAGTGCTGGACATGTTCTTCAGTGGAAGAACTAGCGATTAAAACATCGTCGATTTAGACAAACACGAAATCCAAACCTCTAGTTACTTCGTCCACAAATCTCTGAAAGGTTTGAGCGGCGTTTTTTAGTCCGAAAGGCATCCTCAAGAATTCAAACAAGCCAAAAGGTGTGATTACGGCTGTTTTCTCGATATCCTCAGGTGCCATCGGTATTTGATGGTATGCTCGGACTAGATCTAACTTTGAAAAGATCTGTTTTCCATGTAGATTTAAAGAAAAATCATGCAGATGAGGGATTGGATACCTGTCTGGGATAGTCTGGTTATTCAGTCGGCGATAATCTCCACATGGGCGCCAGTCTTGATCTTTCTTGAGAACCATATGCAGCGGCGAGGCCCGAGGACTGTTGGATGGTCTAATAATACCAAGTTGCATCGTATGTTCGAATTCTCTTTTAGCTACTTGCAACTTGCTTGGCGGTAGTCTCCTCGCCCTGGCGCTAATAGGTGAACCGGTGGTAATGATGTGGTGCTGCACCTGATGTGGATTACATTCCTTTTGATAATCTGATTTTGTGATTCATTCGTATTCTAACAGAATGTCGTTGAAAACGTTGTTCGCAAGTTTCATTATCCGTACACCATGGATTTCATAGTCGTTGGAAGGTGTACCATCTACCTGTAAACGAGTATTTGTGTCGATTAATCTCTTCTTGGTCATATCTACTAACAAATTGTAGGCACCCAGGAAATCAGCTCCGAGGATGGGTTGTTTGACTTGGGCAACTATGAAAACCCATGTAAATCGTCTTCGGAGTCCAAGGTCTAATATAAGAGATTGCTCTCCGTAAGTTTCGATAATTGATTCGTTAGCCGCAATAAGAGACAGCTTAGTGTTTCTTGTCTTCGGGAGAGGTGAAGTGGGATAATGCTAATCTCTGCTCCTGTATCGACTAAAAAATCCGAGCCAGAAATGCGATCCCTGATGTGAAAAAGGCGGCTAACTTGTTGGCCAGTAACAGACGCCGCCATCACTGTCTGGCCGGGCCGTTTCCCTGATTCTCTGTGTCAGTCGCAGAAAATGTGCACGGTCGTGTCCAACACCGTGCTTTGATGCCGTATTTTTGGTGGTACCAACAAACTTCAGATGTTCGCTTCGGTGACCGAGTTCGTTGTCTGGAAAAAGATCTTCGTTTGGAGGGGGATCTCGATTGTTTAGCTTGGATGGTTGCTATGGTCGATTGCAGTGACGCCAGCTGGCTCGTTAATTGCGTTAACTGCTTTTGAAAGGAGGCTAAACAGCTAATATCTGCTGGTCCAGGTGGTTGCAGTGAGTTCACACAATGATTGTCGTGGTATACTTCCATCATTTTATCCGCCATGTCGGCTAAGTCATCAAGAGCGACGGATTTCCCTGAGACACTGAGAATTTGTCTAACACTGTGTGGTAATCTTTGAAACCACATTTGCTTTAGGAGGGCTTCGTCTAGCTTGTAAGGACCGGCGAGTTGTTTCATGTGGCGGGGAAGTTGAGAGGGTCTTTTATCTCCCAAGTCACAAGACGTTAGCAATTGTTGTAGCCTTTTCTCATCTGAAACCGATGTACGTTGAATTACTGCTGCTTTTATCTTATCATATGGTTCAGATTCTGGCACGTGATCGATTAAATCCCCGACTACATATGCATACTTTGATTCCTGAGGTTTTATGCCTCTAACCATGAAGAAAGCTTTAATTTGTGCAAACCAGACTCTTGGATTATTAGCTCCATAAGTTGGGAGTCTGAATTCTGAGATAGTATTAACTGAACTAAAATTATTTTCGGTAGAGTTCGACAATGAGATAAAAGTTGTTACTGGAGGCGAATCCATATCAATGAGTTTAGTGTCAGAGAACATTAAGAGAAAAATAAACCAGTAAATTGTATGAAATGATAAACAATATAGCAGTTAGGATAAATACGAGGCTTACCAAATAATTTTGGTGGACCAGACGATATATAAACGCAAAAAGTATCAACAAAGTTAATAAAAAGCAATAGTAATATTAATATATATATATCAGTTAAATGTTACAAATACAATAAAAATTTGACTTTACTTAAGTTCACCCAAAATGATGCGTGTTCAGCTTTAATCTGGTACAATAAATCCACAATTATAGATGCTTGGTAATTCCAAACGTATCGATGAAATCCCCAGTGGTGTAATCCAAAGCAAGGTATGGTGTATTCGCTCCCGAAGTCTATGAATGTAAATAATATTTGTTTTAGATCTCAGTTAACTCAATCTCGAATGAAAATAAAACGAGGGATGTGTGAGAAGCAGTGTATTTGTTAACCAGCAACGATATGTCACGCTATGTTAGTATCACAACGGAAAAAGTGTTCAAGGTCATTTAATAAAACAAGAGGTACAATCATTTAATTATAAATGTACATGTAGTGAGAACTTGACAAAATAAATACCAATAATATTAAAAACTATTTACAAAATAAGCTTGTCAGACTTATCTCCTCAAGTTCAATCATAACCTTGGTTATCAGCGCTCCGAGATCACAAAATAACAAAAGAAAATAGTAAGAGCAAACTTCAATCAAAACTAAATAGTGGTGATTTAGTCGACGAAGACTGGGAAATATGAAAGTTTAATGTATGCAAAACATGGGAAAATATTCAAAGAAACTAATACTCTCATATGAAGCATTTTGTAGGTTTTTTTCGGAGCAGCCACTCTGTTATATTAAACACACTTGGACTTTTCTGGTTTTTCAATGTAGATCAGACGAGGAATAGTGGGCAAAGTGATTGTGGTGAGACTATAATTTATGGACGAACTTTGAGCGACGCCATAGTGACCTTGAGAATGTCTACCTACTAACTAGTAGTAAGTGAGGGTTATAAACCAATGTAATGAATTATAATTATGATTTACAGTTGAAGGTTAGGGATTTGTATAATATTCACGCGTATTTGAATTATCGTATGAACTAGGAATCTCAGAATTAACGCAATTGAATTAAGAAGTAAGACACAAACACAAACGAATGTATTGTATTTGGAATTCGAGATCGAGTAATCAACAAGTAAGAAAGTATCATTAGTTCGTTCATACACCACAATTTGATTTAGGGTTTTCATCGCAAACTGACATCAACTATAATACCGAAACGCTATTTATTCAAGTGTATGAATGAACTTTGCGCCAAAATTCAAGAATTGTTATCGTATATCTGATTGGTTCGTTTATATATTTTAGTCCCGCTGTACTTATTATTTACTCTATATGAGTATGAAAAATACAGTCACTAATAGTCTTTATCTTTTGTTCGTTTTGCATCTATCTTGAAAATAGATTGGAATTTAGATGCGTGGGAAGAACAGTATATGCAGGAAAATCCTATAAACTGTAGAGCGAGCAAAATGATAAGTCGATAACTAAGTAAGCTCATGTAATGCACCTTCATCTAATAGTAAGAAGAATCATCAACAATGTCCAAAAACGCAGACGTGAAATCAAAACATTCTTGTAAACAAAACTAGAGTGTAGCAGTGTGAAGTTTCAAGTGCACTTCAGACTTTTATTGAAAAATTCACGAATATTATTTCAGATTTGACATACTTATCTTTTTTCAGTGTTCAATAAAAAAGCATTTTCGAATATTTTTATGTTAATCTAGTATACGAGTATGCATGTCAGAGCTTAATTTTGAATGTTGATTTAATTTCAGTAATTGAAAGCCGTATTTATAAATGACCACGCCATTATAGCACACCACAACTTGTCAGTAGAAAGCAAAAAAGTTTGAGCTTGAAATGAAGGCCTAAATGAAAACTGTACGGTTATATGCAGCGCTCACTCACAGACTGAACAGAAAAATAAGCATATACGCTTGTTACAGTACTTATGCTGAATAGTGAAAGATGAATTCGCTACACTTTGATGGAATGGTGCCCTATGTCAACACTGCTTTAGATAAGGATGTAGTTTGATAGTTGACATAAGTGAATTTCTGTCAACTTCATAGTTAGTAGAACTTTTATATTTACTAAATATTAACTA